TTCCCTGCCCTTGTTCTCCAGCTTGAGCCTCACTCATCCCTGAAGGCGTTTGCTGTTCCATTTTTGGTTCAAATGATTCACAGTCTTGGTCCCTAAACTTCCGAGTCAAACAGACCAAACCTTTAACCATCTCACTCAGGTGCTGTGTCCCTCGGGGACACAATCAGCAGGAGACTGAGCTGAGCCACACGAATGGAAAATGATGTGACCATTCCATGCACATCCACTCAGAAACAGTCACCTCAGCCACCTTGCCAAACAGTTCTGCCAAGAGCCATGTCTTACACAGACTTTTTCCTTACAATCCAAGTAAAATCCTTGCCCTGGGGCAGGAGGTTTGAATTAATGACACACAAGTATTTCCCTGTTTCCTGATAGTTCCTTCCCTCCACTCCCTCCTACAGCACCACTGGCCCCGTTTCCCACCCTGTGGGCAGTACCATCCTCCCCATGCCAGGGCTGAGCAGGGCACAGCAGGAGCTTCTCCAGCTCAGGGATCTCACCCTCGGGGCAGTGTGTCCCTGCCCCACTCACTCTGGCACAGAAACAACCACAACAGCAGAGCCAACGACTTCTCCTTGCCTGACCCAAGGAGTGTTTGCTGTGCTGCTCCCTCACTAACCAACAGCCACAGAGAGGACACCTCAGGGTGATGCTCCAGCACCAAATCCCTCCATCCTGCTGAGAACGACCACCCTGAAACACGTGAGGACAAACACTACTCTGACACTGAGTGAGGGCTCAGACAATCTAAGAGCTCCTTAGAAACATGGTTAAGAGGCTGAGTGTCCTTTTAAAGTGTCTCAGCCTCAGAACATCTCTGCTCTGCCTCCAGCCAAACTCCTGAATTTGGTTGTTAACCCATCATCATCAGGGGCTGCTTCAGTCAGCACAACTCCTGATGGTGACAAGGGGCTGAAAACAAAGCACCTTTGCCTGAGTCCCAAGAGTCAGTGGGTCAGCAGTCTGGAGGGCAGGGACACAGAGGAAGGAGGAGGACAGGGCAGAAGGGGAGAGGGACTGGGCAGAAAGGCTGGTGGTACCTGTGGGTGAGGTGCTGGCAGAGCTGTGCTTGGCCAGGCTGGAGCCCACCCCAGCCCTCCACTCTGCACAGTCTGTTCAGGGACACCCCTGCAGCCACAGCAAGGAGCTTTCTACAGCAGCCAAGCAAAACACCTCAATGCAAACACCACTTTTATCTCCCTGGGAGCCTTTGTAGGTGGCATCACCAAACCAGAGTGGCCTCTGCAGTCTGGGACATCTTAGAGCCACCCTCAGAAACTCAGACCCTACAATTCAGATCCAAATCAGGAATTATTTCCTGGATGTTTATGACACTGGGATTTTTTTTCCAGCCCCAGCACTGCAAACAATTGCAGTGTCTACCATGGGGAATGTCAGTGGTGAAACTATTAGACTCACACAACACAAAAATTCTTCTAACAATTAAGGTACGAGGTCTGTTGACAGTGACTGCAGTGGTTAGGTACAGCTGAAAACAAGAGCTCTGTGGATCCTTTCCAGAGGATCTCTGGCCTCTTTCCCCTGCAGAAGTTCCCTCTACCATCACGACTCACAGCAGCTCCATCCGGGGACCAGGCGCAGGCAGGACATGGACCATGTGCTTGGAATGACCACAGTGATGTCTCCTAGAGTCAAAATGCAAGAATTTGGTTTGGTTTGAGCATTCCCAGACTGCACCTCTGACTGCCTGAGGAGGCAGAGCCACCAGCTGAGTCCCTTGGGAGGGATGGGAAGCAGGAGGAGCCCGAGGGCTCTGCTCAAAGGGAAGCACAGGCTCCCTGGGAGGGGATGGGAGTTAGCACCACGTAGGAACCCAAGGGCTATGCCCAAATTGAAACGCTGCTGCCTTTCTGTTGTCTCATGCATCATCCTCACTCTCACAAGTCCTCACTTCATTTG